GGAGTTTGCATGTTCTCCTCATGTTTGCATAGGTCCACACACAGTCCAAAGACATGGGGTAAAGGTGAATTAAATAAACTAAATTGTATGTAGTTTATGAGTGTGAATGTAAGAGTGTATGAGTGTTTCCCAGTACTGGGTTGCAGCTGGAAGGGCATCCACTGTGTAAAACACATGCTGGATATGTTGGCGGTTCATTCAGCTGTGGCAACCCCTGATGAATAAAGGGACTAAGTCGAAGGAAAATGAATGAATGAATGAATGAATGTTTATAATTTGTATAAGATTTATTCTTATGTTTTATAATGTTAATTAATGTAGGATTACTGTTTTAGAAAAACAAAATAGACAATTAAAACAAAGCTACCGATAACAAGCCAGCTGTTCAGTTTACTTTCACTTCTTAAATAATTAATTCAGTACTGAATGTGTTCCTTATTCTCCATTTTAATCAAGCAGCAAAACTATGTGTGGTACAACCTGTAAAAAGAAGAACAACCTGCCACACCAGGTTCCTTTGTCTGCATAACTCAAGAAAAATTGCAGACCTCTTACATCACATGATTTCCTTTTTCCTCATTTAAACAAAAAAGAAAATGTGAAAGAATTTACATTTCCTTTTCACGCACATATTCCATCCCTCTACTGTAACAGCAACTTACTTAATTTCGTTGTTATCCTAAGACAAACATAAATGTATCTAATGTAAACATAAATGTAAACTAAATGTATCTAATGAGGATTTTGATTTATGTTCATGCTATAATTAATTATTTATTTAAATGACATGCTTAAACTTTTACTGGTGTAACTGAAACCACTTAGCAAAAATAAACAGCAAAATGCTATCCTATTTTATTGACTACAGATTCCTATACTAAAATATCCTGTAAATAGATACATGCCTATTGAATGTAATGGAGGTCAACATGAGAAGACAACAGAACAAGAGAAACCCGTCAAGCTACTCAGAAAAAAGGTCACACAAAAGACTTGGAGGATAAACATTAGTGTGACCATTAACATATTTATTACATTCATTCATTTTTTTTTTCGGCTAAGTCCCTTTAATAATCTGGAGTTGCCACAGCGGAATGAACCACCAACTTATTTTATGCAGCGGATGCCCTTCCAGCTGCAACCCATCACTAGGAAACACCCATACACTTTCATTTACACACATACACTATGGACAATTTAGCTTACCCAATTTACCGATTATACCTAGTCAAACACGGGGAAAACATGCAAACTCCACGCAGAAGTGACAACCAGCCGAGGCTCGAAACAGCAACCTATTTGCTGTGAGGCGAAAGTGCTACTCACTGCCCACCGTGCTGCCCACCTTTAACATATTTAATACAGTTCATATTATTATTATTATTATTATTAATATGAAGACTATTACAGTATGTACAGTTCTGTATCTAAAATACTTTAAACGTCTATTAACTATAATAGAATGTTTGATTTTTATAACAAGAATACAATATAGGAAAGTTTGCGTCTTTTTTTGCTAGAAAAAGAACAGACAATTCTCACTATTAACTACTGGCTTATTATTAAGGCATTTGCTTTTTATTAATAAATAAAACGGTGATTTAATAAAGCATGATCTTAATCTACATCCTTATTCCTACCCAATATCTAAACACAACTACTATTAATATGCAGTAAATTAGCCCTATAGTAAAAACGTAGACCAATATACATTTCTGGAGATTGCAAATTATGTAGCCAGAACTACGTATGGCTGCATTTTGTTTTTAAAACGAATGCTACAGTGCGGTATGACCTAGTGTGGACGGCTTTTACCCCATTATAAGTTTGTCCGGTGGGCTATAAATCATCGCGTATGTCGGCAGACTTGTGAACTGGCGGGGGTTGACCGTGGGGTTTGACGATGGGGTTCGAATACGATGAAGAACGGTTCCAGAAAGCAGGTAAGACATAAACAAAAGCCAAACAATAAAATGAACAAGTAAATAACATGGTGAGAACGTGGTAAAATCTAAAAACATGGTTAAAAAAAAACAAAAGGGTTTTTCTTTTTCTGGATTGCTTTTGAAAACACTGTCGGTTGGGTTTAGGGAAGTGGGTGGGCGCTGGTCAATCTGTACTTTTGAAAACATTATTGGTTGGTTTAGAGGAGGGTGGTGGGTCAGTCAGTCAGTCGGTCAGTCAACAGTAGGGGAGAACATGCAAACAGCCTCTGGTGGATTTACAAGAGAAGAGCAGGGGTCTGTTCTTCGTACCTGGCTTAGATGATCTAAGATGATTTGGCAGATCCTGGATCTGTTAATCTTGACAACTGATCTCTGACTAATTTGGTTCTTCAAACAAGTTCGCGAATCACATTAAAATGTCTGGATGAACTGATCTGAGATCGCTGTGTGAGATCGCTGACAGATTTATCAATCCTCAAAAACATGATGAGCAATGCAATGATTGGCTGACGGCACAACAGCGTAATGACATCATCTGATTAATATTCAATTATCCATGTGAGCAAAAATACATAAAATTTGCAGTAAACGTTGTTAAATATGACACTCAATGACTTTCCACAATTGCTGTGAGCTGCAGGCTTTACACTTTCATGTGTCAAGAGTATTCATCATGTATTTCAATGCATATCAATGTATTTAGTTGTGCATTTAGAGAAGATTTTCTTTATTATAGTAGTCTAGGCCTACTCAAGTTTTTTGATCAGCATAAGAAATAAATGTATAAATTAATTTTGCATCAAAAAAGCATTTTGATTCGGGTAAAGGTGTCTGCAACTATTGCGAAGCATCAAATCATCGGCATCTTAGCGGTCAAAACATGTGTATGACTGCATAAATGATTATCCTTTTTTAAATAAGTCAAATATTGTGCATGTACAATTTACATGTTCAAAGGCAGTCTTTTACTTTTATTTCGGAGTGCAGATTGCATAAGTTTTTAAATATATATAGATTTTTTTACTTTACTTTATATATTTATATATTATTTATTTAATATATTTAAGTGTATATTTTCCCAAGTGTATATTACTACTTTAAAAAAAATATCAGCATTTGGTACATACATTCAGCATTATCTTTGCTTTAACTGACCCAATCTAATCCTGTTTATATGAAATGAACCTGCTCCCAAGTAGGTTTGAGCTACCAGAACTGTTGTTATGACAACAAGTCTCAGATGAGTTTTGAAGAACGAAACGATCCTGGATTGTGTCAAATCGTCAATATCCAAATCCAGCTAATTGAGTAATCCACTAACGAAGAACAGACCCCAGGTGCGAATGGCACTAGCGAGAGAAATCTGAGGTCTCAAAAAGCGTACACAGGGCCTCTGGAGAATTCGCGAAAAACAAGAAAATGCTAAAAAATGTAGCTACTGAGACGTATTTGCCGCTCTCCAGAAATGTATATAGGGATACATTTTCAGAGTGAGCCTGGGTTGCAACTAGTTTACATCTTTAAAGATTAATAGATAAATTCCTTAGTTGATGGATGGTTATAGTGAGAATTGTACCTTAAATTAAAGTGTGACCCACTTGAGGTTTCATTAGCTCATGTATTTACTAACATGAACTAAAAATCATCAAGAAGAATCTTCAACATTTGCTAATGCATCATTAATAGACTAACATTATTAAAACCTTACTGGAACTAAGAATTAACTTTATTTTTATGAACTAATGTTAACAACGAGGAATAAATACCGTAGCAAAAGTATTGTTCATAGTTTGTTTGTGTTAGTAAACACATTGACTAACATTAACTAATGGAAACTAATTGTAAAGTGTGCATGTATGCACAGTATATTCCAATGCAAACGCCTCATTTGTGCCATCTGAACTTTTCAGATAAAATTAGTATTTTTCACAGGCTCATGTGTGTTCAGTAAGTTAGCTTTTATGGCAAAGAGTTGGTCCTTTTCATTGTCTTTAAATTGAAATTATTGAGGTAAAGATGGTTTTATATTCACACTTTCTCCTTATTTCATAAAGGTATTCTTTCCTAATTCTGAAAAGGGAAATCATATTAGCAGCCAATGACTATCAAAGTACACTGTTCACAGTCTATTAAATGGTGCTAATGTTGTTTTGAAGTCATACTTGCATGCGATTTCAGACCCAATATTCAAAATAGCGTGTCATAAGCTGACACTGTCAAAGAAAAGAATGAATTTGTAGATATAAAACCAACTTTACCTCAATAAATAACTGCACACACAGTAAATATACACTGTAAAAAAAATCCTGGTTGCCTTATTTTTTTTAAGCTGAATCAAATTAACCTTATGATTCTATTAAACTTGAACTGACTTAAAACTGCTTGAATAACTCATTAAATTAAGTTAAACATGATTAAATTAGTTTTATAAGTTACAATGAACTTAAAAATAAGTTATGACTAATCGTTCATATAATTTTACTGTGTAGGAGACATAAAGGAGACATGATTATGTAGGAGACATAAATAAGATCATGTATGCATGTATTTATGTTTTTGTATGTGTGTATGTGTGTGTGTGTGTGTTTGTTTTTTTACGTTTGACATGACATGAACGTTAAAATATGTTTGTCATCCTGACACATAAAAGGCAGTCAACAATGAAATGAATGAATGATTCATGTTAATGTCTCGTGCTGACTGCTGAGCTTTCTTATGGTAACGTAGGTGTAAGAAGAACAGGTACAACGAGTTCCCGGATGACGTTATGTCAAGTGTAAACTGGTCTTGCCAGTTGTTTAAAACCTGTTTCGTTTCAGCATTTAAATAATGTCATGACAAAAAATATATTAATTTATTGTACATCAATACACGGCCGACATTACTGCAGCTTCGATGTGCCTACGCAAGCTTCCTAGAAACCGTGCATCCACACTAATGTATTCCGGTTGGTCTGTCAACCATATTATGTCGTAAAAAACGTAGTCAGTGTTTAGTATCCATATGGGAATGCTAAACATTAGCATCGCAACACAACAAATTAAGTGTCTATACCTGCTGTTTTTCGAAATGTTCCCTCTCGGCTCCTAAAACCGACTCCGTCCTTCTGCTTTTGACCCGCGAAGGCACCTGTCGTATTGAATTCATCCTTTATATTGGAAAGGCAAACGTGTTATGCTCCGAGTATCCGTCGTTTGACAGTCCAGTGTGGCTGTGTGAGCTTTAATTTCATATGTGGGCTTTATCAGGAACACCGCGACGCTATAAGTAGGACATGGAGGAAAAACCTGTTCTGGCTTCGTGGCTTTTTTTTCCGCCGGGTTTGAGTCGTACTACAGCATTACTGTGGGAGGAGTAATAATCCGCCTTTTACTAACGCTGCTATTCATTTTGGGACGAGGAGTTAGCATGGATGGCCTCAAATAAGGATGAATAGTCACGAAAATGCGATTTAGTGTTTCTACATGTAAAATAGGCTTGTGCATTCCCATATTCAATATTTAAAAATACGTTTATTAGGGTTCATAATGATGAATACTCACAAAAAATGCGATTTAAAAATGCTATTTAGTCCAAATTTAAAAAAAAAAAGTAATAGGCAAATATTCAGGGTCCAAAACCCTAGTTGATTAGTAAAAAGTCAATAATAATAAATAAAGCAATAGTTTATCTTTTCATTTTTTTTACTTGGGAAAATTATTAGACAGTAGATTATGTTAACAGAAAAAAATGGAACAGAGAGGAGCACAAACATGTAATATATTAAACATTCAATATTAATACTGTATATCAATATTAGTTAAATCAAGATTGATCTCTATTTGTACATCTAATTATTTTTCAGATTTGCTTTTTTTCAGTAATAATTAACTGGAATTATAATGAAATATGAATATTGTTGTTCAGAGATGGTGTACTGATTTATGCTGTAGGCTACTCTGTTTGCTATGTGTAAATATTAGCCTACTGTGTTACACTTTTATACATGCAAATTTATCTTTCTCTAATAGTAACACACTAGTAGACATACACAAATACTTAATTGCTCTTGATGGTTTTTTTATTCAAAATACCCAATAACATGTTGTTCCACAAATACTGTCACCCCTAAAAGATGTAGTCCATATGTACAATTTGAGTAAGCATACAGTACATATCATACATTTCTTATCATATCTGGAGTTTTAGATGTCAGTGAGCATATAAGATGAATATATTTGAAAGATAATACAAAGATAATAAGCGATATCTCATTCATTTCATTATCTCGTTATTTTATAATTATAAATGTAATAGATGAAGCGATGTGAGAAGTATGTCAAGAATATACTACTACGTTGCTGTCTTTAAGACAGCAGTTCTCAAAAGATTCATATTTCTGTTATTGTTATTGTACTGTGTGCTGCAGGGCAGGAGTGCTCAGTAGGTTCACAGCACTTATTTCTCTTATATTACTTGTATTTTGACGGTATTATGTGTTGCTCTCAGTTAGGACAGGAGAACTAACTAGCTTCATAGTGACAGTAAATAAACAGCATTTTCGGGTTACATTGACATAAAGTTTTCACAGAAATGTGCCTTGATCAAAAACCGTCAATATTTAGTGAATTTTTTATTTCTGTAGCAATTTTACAATGTAGATTGTGTCCAAGCAGCTTATACAGTTGAAACCAGAAGTTTACATACACTCTAAAAAAGGAACATAACCATTTTTTAAAAATGTCTGATGGTAAATCATACTAAACGTTTACCATTTTAGGTCCGTTAGGATTACCTAAATGATTTACATTTGCTAAATGTCTGATTAATGAGAATTTTTTTTGGGAGAATTTTTTATTAATTTCTAGACAGTTAGAAGTTTACATTTCCTTGGTATTTTTTAGCTTTGCTTTTAAACTGTATAACTGGTCAAATATTTTGGGAATCCTTCCACAAGCTTCTCACAATAGTTTGAAGGAATTTTGGCCCATTCCTCCTGGCAGAATTGGTGCAACTGAGTCAGATTTGTAGGCTGTCTTGCTCGCACAAGCTTTTTCAACCCACAGATTTTCTATAGGATTGAGATCAGGGCTTTGTGATGGCCACTCCAAAACATTCACACTGTTGACCTTAAAGCACATTTTAACTAATTTGGCAGTAGGGTCATGGTCTGTTTGGAAGACCCATTTGTGGCCAAGTTGTAATTTCCTGGCTGATGTCTTGAGATGTTGCTTCAGAATTTCTACATAAAATTCTTTCTTCATGATGCCATCTATGCTGTGAAGTGGACCAGTTCCTCCTGCAGCACAACAGCCCCACAACATGATGCTGCCACCCCCATACTTCACAGTTGAGATGGTGCTCCTAGGCTTGTAAGCTTTCCCCTTTGTCCTCCAAATGTAACACCGGACATTATTGCCAAACAGTTTAATCGTAAGCTGCGTCCCGCATACTATTCGTCCTAAATAGTATTTGAAAATAGAATTAGTATATCCCAAATCATATGTTGAAAATAATATCCCAGAAGTTCCTGGATGGTTTGCTATTTCCGGTAAAAAAATTTAAGTGTAGAAGCATCCATACTCTAACCGCTGATATTTCCCACAATACATTGCCAGTTGGATGTGAATTCGATTAGAACTACAAACGCGTGTGAAAAGTGTAAATAAACTACAAACATGATGGACGCGCGAGACCAACCGTCAGGTAGAGAGGCTTCGGTAAAGATGTTTGAATGACTGAGTCAATATCTAGCCCACTGGAAAATATTTAAATGGCATTTTCTGTGTTATATTTCATCTGCAACAACAATACTGAACTTATATAAAGACGCATTTGGACGTCTGAGCGTCTGAATGCATAATTACCCAAAGACCTGAGGAGATTTCTCTGCATGAAAGACTTGTGAATGGGAGATTATCCTGCTGCTGCTTCTCCAATAAGGTAGGAAATTTAATACGACAGAAATGTGGATGGTGGACGATTGGCAGGGGGCATAACTAAGCAACACAACGATCCGTTAAAGAGGAAGTAGCATGTCCCAAAGCTTGCCTTGCATACTCTTCTAATGGACACTCAAAAGTAAACTTTTGCTTCACAAAAAAGTACATACTTTTAGGGCGTAGTATAAGTATGTGAATTGGAACTCAGCATTACAGTAGTTCCATCTGACCACAGGACATGTCTCCAAAAATGTTTTTTCACAGTGTAATTTAGCAAGTTGTAATCTGGCTCTTCTGTTGATTCTGTCTTGTTAATTTTCCCATGTTGTCACTCAGCAAAGCAGTGTGTTTGAGGTTTTTCTTAAATACTATTTTACAGTTGTGCCCCCAATTAACTCAAGTGTTGTCAATTAGCCAATCAGAAACTTCCAAAACCTTGACACCATCATCTGAGCTTTTTCAGAGGCATAATAATCTTATTGTATGTAGACTTGACTTTAAAGAAAAGTTATAACAATTTCTCAAAAAATACCTCTCATTATTCCGCTATTAAGCATAACAGAAACAAATGTGATAATCCAAACTTACCTTAAAGAGAAACAGTTTAGTCACATTAACATCTGACTTTTTTAAGTGGTTATGTGCCTTTTTATACAGCGTTTCATTTGTCGTTGCATGCATTAGACAGCAAACTTTAATTTAACCAAATATGTCTATATAATAGCAGTTAAACATATTAAAGCTGTCTATTTTTTTATTAACGTAAGTAACAGGAAAAAAACATTAAATTGTGCTAACATTGTGTGACCGGAATACTAATACATATTCATTGTACATCTAGTAACAATGATACAAAAGATAAGTAAAAAAATACATGAAAGAAAAACAATTATTAAAGAAAACTGAATTATATATATATATATATATATATATATATATATATATCCGAAGAAATAAGACATAAATATCTCAAACTATACTTAAATTGTTAGGAATGTTACATATAGGCGTGCCAAAGGGATCTGATAACTTAAAGGTAATGATAATAATGATAATATTATATCTTTTCAGCAGTTCAGTTGTTTCAGCAGCTTTCTTATTTAGCGATAAGCAGACAGATTCATAATAAAGTTTCAAGTCAATACAAAATGTGCTAAAATTAGGCAAACACTGATTGTAACATATTGTCCATTTCCTTACAATCTGACTCCCAAATTAAAAACAATAAATTAATTGTCTTCAAATCAAAAAGTTTTTTGTAAGCTGAGAAGACAATATTTCTGTCCAAAATGTTTCTACAAAATTGCATTCTAAAAATAGCGAGTGGATGTAAACATTTGGGTTGAACCGTAAATGCACTCCTTCCCAGTAGATGTCGCAAAAGCACCAACAAGATCCGACTTGTCTACAACCAGAGAGGAAGAGAAACAAAAAGCGAAGAAGAAGAGCTCGGCGCCAAATTTTGACAGTCATGGGCGGAGATTACTTACACATCATTTTATGAAACAACAATCACGTTTTTTAAAGTAAGTGCATGACAAAGCCCCTGCGACATTTGCCACCTTTTTAAGTCAAAGTGTTGTGAGGTTTGATAGTTTATATTTACGTTACGTGTCGTGTTTTACATACAATGCGTCAAGAATGTGGAATAACGTCGAACTTTTGCTGAACGAGGACACAAACACGGTCCGTCTGTACAACGATGTTGAACAAGAGTCTGGAAACGCTTTATATCAAGTGGACAACTTGGTTAAAATCTCATCCTCCGAAAAGGTTTGTAACAATAACGTTTAATTGAGACTGACTGGATATCAAAAATACCTGTGGCACAGTTGTTGGATTTATGATTTTATTTATTTATTTATTTGATAATTCGGTCGTTTATTTTTTTTTCATTAATTCATTTTTTTATTATGCTTTAAACAACATATACATGACAATATAGTAAACAAAACAATGCCAGGGTGATAGAAAGTAAATGATAACAACAATACATAAAATAAAAATAAATAAATAAAAAAACAAACATAAAAATAAGAGTGTAAATACTTAACTAAAATTCTTACAAATACAAATAAGCAGGACCTTTACATTAATCAAAAATATTAAAACTAGAGCACAGTTGGAAAGTTTTAATAGCCTTTCGATTAGCACTAGGCTGAATAGTGCAAAAGTAATTTTTCCGTTCCTTATAAAACACTGTAAAACAAGGTTTTTTATTTGAAAATTTACACTTATGAATATGAAACTTAATTAACAAAATAAATAGGTTAATAACAAACGCTTCATTATTCAAATTATCATATTCTTTTTTTATTAATTATCAATTAAAATATACAAAGATTACATTTTCAAAATGCAGATTATTTTCTGTATAAATAAATAGTTAGAGAGTACCTTTTTCTTTATAAAAACAGAAGCAGC